TGCAACATCCTTTTCAAAAAATGTGATTTCTCCCGTTCATGCTCAACTAGCTGCAGAAATAACTCTCTAGCTGTAACTTAGGCCAGATCATTCCTGCCTCTTAATTGTAGAATCATAGAATATCCTGAGTTGTAAGGGACCTGCAAGGATCATTGACTCCAGCTCCTGAATGTCTCTCCTCTGGTTTCATTTCTGTATCATATCAAACAGAAGCTTCATGTCTTTAGCTGCATGACCTGTAATGACCTATTCGCACCCTTTTTCCTCTAGTATTCTCTAGTGACATACCAACTCATCCTTCCCATCTGAAGGTGTCTGTGTTCAGTCTTCAAGCACTTACATTCCGTTTTGTTCTGTCTTTGTCCTTCCCTCAGAAGTATCCCATTAAACCTCCTTTACACTCCCTCCAGGTCCTCTTTCAAATTCTCCCTTAACCTTTTCCTTTGCTGGGCTGTCTACAGACTCCTTGTCAATAATAAAACATTTAGAGTGCTGAGACCACAGTTTTTCCTTGCTGACTGTTTTGTCTGATTGCTTCCTTCTATCTCCTATCTCTACCCAGTTGTTAGTGCTTGTATTAGATTGTAAACTCCTGCAGTTGGGCCCTTCTTTGAATTCTCTGTTTCTCCAATATCTAGCACAATGGGACTGCTCCAAGATCTGTGGTGGTATAGGCAAAAAACATGTAATAATATAACGTGTAATAAAATAACGAGAAGTTAGAACATGGCATCATGTGCAATATGAGCTCCTTTCCTCCATTCCCCCTCTTCCTTCAGATTCGCAATAGTTTTTACACAATAGAAGACAGTAAATGAGGAGGTTTCAGAATAAAGTATAGTAGCTGATGTATCCTTTCAGCTGTTGAAGTGTTTCCAGGTGATCCACTCACTACAATGGCATTTTCAGAAAGGAGGCCTCTGTGGACACTTCTGTATGTCCCCTCAAGGTAAGACCAACATGTGGCAGCCAGGCAATGCTGAAGGAAGGTCATGGCACAGGCAAAGTTATGAACCTCTTTCATGCAAAAGTAGAGGACTCCGGTCTCCCAGGCTTGCTGCCAACGTATCGCCTTCTAGTTTTACTGAAGTGATCTTGAAAAAGGATCTAAAAAGGGCTGAAGGGGCAAAAGAAGAATGTTGAAATGACATAGTTTCATCTTCATGCAGTTTAGTGCTAATTTTGTCCTTTGTCTTTAAGCTGCCTTTTAAGTGCTGTTTGTCTCTGTGGGAAGCAAATGGGTCACGTTGTTCTGTGTTTCTACTGTAATACACTGCCTGCTATTTTTCTCTTAGATTATTTGTGTAATCTTTTTTTTGTGCAATCTGTTTGTTCTTGAGTCTTGCAAACTTTGCTACTTCTTTCCCAATAAGCAGTGCAACTTGTTCTGTATTCACTAACGGGTATTCTGAACACAACACTGGGTTATTTCAGCCAGTATGAAAATATTAAAATGGGGAACATGTGTGGGCACTTAATTGTGGTGAGCCCAACCACAAATACCTTCGCTGTTGGTAACTGGCAAGCAGGAAAAGCAGACCTTTGTTTTGTTTTTATCAGACATAATGATAGATACATTGTTTTTAGTGGGGTTTTTCTGGTTTTCTAAGGAAATGAGGCTTGTGCAATCACACTGCCTGTGTGCATGTGCCTGTCTGCTTGTCAATTCCTCCCTCACCAACACTTGAAACTAATAGCCATTTTCAACTAAATTTGAGCAAGATGCAGGAGTTGGGAGAACAGACCAGCTTTTGCAGAAGTCTTGTGAGTTCTGCAGAAGGTGCAGTCTCCAGCGGTCACATCATTTCAAGACAGATCAGTTGGGTATATGCCCGCATACCTCCACATGGATCCAGCCACCTCAGTGTAATCTCCCAAACTGGATATTTTGGCTTGTTTACTTTTACCTTCTGGGTGAGTGAGTCAGTTGGGAGAGTTGCTAGGCACAGAGCTTGTGTTTTGATTCTCACTGGAGTGACCATACCTCATGAAAAACATGGTTTGCTCAAGGCCACAGCGTTATAATTTGCATATAAACTTATATAAAAGGAAACTTTCTTTAAGCTTTCCTGTACAACAGTTTACAGGATTATTTCTGTCTGTGTACTTAATAGCAGAAACTGGATTTCTCATAAATGTAGACAGGTTAAGTCTGTCACTGCCTGAATGGGAATCTTCTGTGGAAAAACCCAGAAAGAGGAAGGAAAGCCTAAGGAAACTAACTTAAAGGGGAGAAGTTGGCCAAGACTTGTGTTGTGCTACTCTTTGGTTTGTACCTGACCACCAGTAATTAGCTGGGGAATGCCTCAGAATTATGGAGGAATGTAACCTCAGAGCACCTTTGAGAGACAGAGAAAATGTCTTTATGCTCATTGCTGGAAGAGAGGACAGAGGTACAAAGGCATTGAGTGACTTGTCAGATATTAAAAGAGTATCTGAGTTAGGAAACAGGCCCGGGTCTCCCAGCACAAGTATAGCCAGAAGTATGGTCTACATGTAGACAGCTTCTTCTTCAGCAAATGGAGAGATGCCTTGGTCAAACAGGAAGATAAATGCTGAAGTATACCAGAGCTGCCTAAATCATGAATGTGAGAAGAGGAGGAGGGGAAGAAAAGATTCCCACATGTTCTGCTCAGATGTTAACAAAGAAAGCTGAGAAGTGTTTGCATAGACGCTACATTATTCCATGTCCAAATGCCTCATAAAAATAATACCGGATGATCACAGAATGGCACACTAGGGAAAATAAATTCTTCAGCGGAATATTCCCTCTGGAAAAACACTGTGTAAAGTAATACACTAATGGCTTTCAATTTCATGTTTTATATATAGAGATATTAACTGCTCCCCAGACATCTCTTCGTATTACAGCCCAGCTACACGAGATGTTTGGAGAAGGCCCTGGAGCACGCTCTGTCATGTCCACATGCAGGACTGAGTGGTGCTCTCTCATGGTACATGCAGCTCCTGTGGTATACACAGTAGGTATCTTCTGCCTCCTTCCCAGTGCAGTGCTGCCCCTGTGATTCTGTCCACTGGGTTTGGGTTTTTTTGCTTCCTAGTCCTTGTGGTTTTTTCCATTCTTCCCCCATGCTCGGTAGCCTCACCACCTGGGTTAATGCTGGGAAACCTGCATTCCTCCTCTGCTCATAAAAAAGGAATACTCACTACAAGTGCTACAGTGGAGTAATTAAAGCACAACACTGTCAATCAAAACACTAATAACAAATGCTAAAGAAAGTTAAGTTCACATACAGCATTATTAATTCCTTTTTGGGGACTTTCTGGATTCATCTGGTGACTTCTCTCTCCACATTGCTCAGGCTGGGAGCTGTTTGTGTCAGGAACTGTCTCTCCTGTATAAAGCCAACTACGGTTATGCCGTTGTAGCAAATCATAATGATCTGGGGTTTTTTCCAAGCTTTCCTAATATATCTCAAATGTGTATATATATCATCCTGCCACATCCTGAGGGATCCAAAAGTAGCTTACATGCTTTGTTCCCTGAATGTAGCTTACTGGAGTCTGGGATAGGCAGGAAAGATGATGTGAGTGCAGGGATATTGACAGTGCACTGCCTAAGGACAGCAGCCCTGCTCTTGGGATGACAAGATATGTCCAAGTCCTTTAAGAAAGTTGTGCAATATATGCTCGAAAAGCCCAATAAATGCAGACCGTGGTATGAGAGAGCATCATATTGTTTCTGGATTGTTAATTATCAGATACGTATTATTTGTGTATGCATTTATGAATAATTCTATATTGAACTTAGTCTGCCTTCCTGCTCATACCTTAGCTCTTGCTTCCCTTCCCCTCCTTCCCACCCTCAGTGACTGTACCACTCCACCCGTGGAGCCTTCAAGAAGTGCAGGGCCCCATGACTGGAGACACCACAGTTAGTCTGAAACTGGACAATACCATTTTGACTGGGGCAATGTCCCAGAACACATTTGCTCTATTAGCTTTGGTGGAGTTCTCCTGCATAGGGTGGCTGAGGTTGTCCTTAATACCTTTTCCAACACTGATCGTTGGGTAAGGACATCAGACCTACACGGGCTATGTCCATTTTCTAGAACTTGAATGACAGAGAAAAATGGCAAGGGTGTGTCTTCCACCCACCTCTTCCATCATCACTGCACCACAGTCTTTTATGGGAAAATGTCTTTCCCATGATCTAAGAAAATCTTTTCTTCACTTGAAATCTATCTGCCACATAACATTTTTAACAACAATCTGAACAAGGCAGGAAGCCTTTTGTATATGTGTGTGTGTGTGTCTGCAGATTTTTTGTTATGCGTTTCTGAGTGACATTAGGGACCTTTTTGAAAAACAGACAGAGCTCTTAAGGCTTGTATATACTTAAAAGTCTTTAGTAGCAGGTTCTGATAGACCTTTCTTGAAGGATGGTAAGAATAAAGTATCCACACATCAGTTTCTTTAGGAATAGTTTCTGTGCTTAAATAGACACAATATCTTAATCATTATTAATCTCTGAACAGAAAAAAAATTGGCTTCATTGAGAGAATTGGTTAAAGCTGTACAAGCAAATACTACTCTTTAAATGGTAGCAACTGTACTGCCACTAGGCAGCTTTTGTGAGGCATCCTACCACAAAATCTTTTAATGTGGAGGCCAAAGCTTTAGGCACAGGTTTATCACATCTAACTGATGAGCTGAGGATGACTATATAGCTGGGTTAGGTGATAGCTGGATGGTTTGTGTCTGAGGCTCAAACTCCTTATAGTGAAGCAGCAGCAAAACTGATATCACTGCAGTCTTGGGAGCCAGTTTCAGTCCTTTCTAGATCTTTTCATATGGGCCAGCACCAGAGTGCCTTACAGGGATGCTAGATCTTTGCCAGCAGTGGCACAAATTGCTCCTCTGTTGTCTGAGCTGCTGTGTCCCCCTTACACCTGTGCAGCACAGCTGTGTGGAAGAATCTTCTCTGCAGCTGAGTCCAGGAGCTTGCTTTGACTCACATCCTTTCCCTTTGCTGACAGGCTGCTGTGCCCGCTGTGGGAAGAATGTTGTTGGAGAAGGCACCGGTTGCACAGCCATGGACCAGGTCTTCCATGTGGAGTGTTTCACCTGCATGACGTGCAAGAGCAAGCTGAGGGGACAGCCTTTCTACGCAGTGGAGAAGAAAGCCTATTGTGAACCCTGCTATATTGTAAGTAGCTGTTCTTCTTTGTGCCCTGACTTTAATGCACAGACATGGGAAACATTGATTTCCTTCATTGCTGTAAAGTTGCCTTGCAGTTAAAATCTGATAATCTTGCGGCAGTACTGTGGGCACCTGGTTTTTCCATGGTCTTCAGAAGAACTCTGATGTTTTTCAACTTACTGGATGAATCTCTTTTCCTGGTCTGACCTGTCTCCAAAAAGAAGTGGGACAGGAAAAAACAATGGAGGGGAAATAGATGATTTTTGTCATTTTTCATTTCTGTAAGGAGCAGAATATGCAGTGATTTTTTAGCAGTAGTGTTGCCCTTAGTTTTCTATACTGGGAAACCTAATACCAAAAAGTTTACAGACTGTGGTGCCCACTAAGATTAAGGAGGTGGGATGCAAGAGAGCTGTGAAACTTCTAAAATAAAGGCCTTTGCGTTACCTGATGGAAGTTTTTCTACTGAACTGTCTTTGGATTAGATATCTTTTGAAGCTTACCTTACCCTAAAATTTGATTTCATGCCTCCAACAAGGTCTTAAAGAAAACAATTAACAGTTGTTCTGAGGAACTACATCTTGTAAGGGGCTCCTATAAGAGCTGCTGGGACCAATTGTGCAGGTGCAAATTAAAGAAACATCACATAATGTACCTCAGGCCTTACCTTGGTGTGACCTAAGCATCTAGTATATAAGGGTAATCCTTGTATCTTAGATTAAATCAAGAACCAAAACATTTCTGAAGCGTTGATAGGTCTTTCTCTAAACATCCAGTTCTATGTTCTTATAGACACCAGGCCTAAGACTCTTTCAGAATTGGATTTGCACTTCTGAAAGTAAAAATTGATGCTTTTCTTGATGTTTCTGGCATTCCAATAATAATTCAAGGAATAACACATATTTTTGAAAATGCCACCAATATCTCAGTGTTCTTCCTATTTCTACAGAGCCTTAGCAGTGGGACTATTACTGAAGTATTGAATATAAAAAGGGAGGATTCTGTCTTATTTACAATGGCAGTGATAGGTGGGCCTTGTTAATTTGTTTTTAAAAGCTAAATGATCTTTTGATGGAATATGTACCTTTTGAATCATTTCTATTTTTGTTTGCACTAAAATGATTGTACCATAAAAAATTTAAGGTTCATTTTGTGGAAAGTTTGACCATGTGCAAAGCACTGCAGACTTTAGAAAGGTGCATTCATAATATAATTGGAACAACTTTATGTAACTGGAATTAAACATTTCATTGACTTCAGGCTGGAATTGACTTCATCTGCTTGCAGATTGATACTTTCTTTTCCTCTTTTTTAAATCAAGCACGCATTCTTCACCACTCATCTGCTTTAGTTTGGGAAAACATCTGCATTAGCCACTGTAGTAATGGTTTAAGATTATTTAATCCCATTACTTATACACTTCATTAGCCTGAGTGAATTGTTGGCAAGGGTTCAGTAAACTTCCTACATTGGGAGATAAAAGGATAAAAAAGGAAAGGGAGAAGGATTCTGTTCCTCATTTTCTTTCAAATTTATCTTCTATCTATTTAAGGGATAAAGGAATGATAATTGCCTGGTTGCATCTGCGTTTGTACATTCTGTGATATGGCTTTGCAGCTCTGAGTACAGAGGAAAGAGTAAACGTTTAATAGCTTCCTTTTATATAACCAGAAGGGGCCTTTAAGTGTTTATCCATGCAGTCCACAAAAACCTGGTTATGGACTTAACCCAAAACACGTCTGGATCCATCTGCTGCTGCACATGCAGAGGAAAGGATGGCAGTGCTGACAGGGCTGTGTATGTGTAGCTGGACAGCTGGTACTGTGAGTGGGAAATGGGAAGCTGGAATCTGGCAATCTGAGGCAGTAAAGAAAAAAACAAAAAGCCAAGCATGCATTAAACTCTTAAATATGGAAGAAACAAATATTGGAAGCCTAAGTCTCAGTACCTTTCAGAAAGCTCAGGACTCAGCTGTGCTAAAAGCCAGATTCACAAGGGATCTAAGCACTTGCCATGCTACTGGCTTTGGGTCTGAGGAATTTGTGTCCTAGAGCCTGTGTCTTATTGATTTTTCAATGGAATGAGGTCTGCATTGGCTTCAGAAGGATAATGAATGCCTAAGTACACTGAAGTCTTGAGATAGGCTTGCAAATTCTTCTTGCAGATGAATTGGGGACCCTTAAATTGATGAGGCACAGTCTGAATGCTTTTGTCTTTAGATGCCTTTAGATGTGTGATGCAGTTATACTGAACTCAATGAGAGTTAATCTAGCCTGTGCTTAAGGATTCTTCTGAAGTGTGGCCTCACTTTTTTTTTTTTTTGAGCTTCAAGTCCTGTGATCAGAAAACAGCTTGGATACTAGGAACCCTAGGTCTGTAGGAAGTCAATTGGACTGAAATGCCTAGACTCAGATACCTCTGGATCTGAATTCACATGAAAGGTGCAACCTGTGTGACTAGCCCAAGACTACACAGTTAATTCATGGCAGTGGCCAACTAAAAAAATAGGGTTTTCAGCTGGCATAAGTCTGAGTAATTCAATGAAACTTGTTTACTGGTCTACCTAATTCACACTGATTTCTAGCACACAACCCCATTTTCCCAAGTCCAAGACTCTTGACCTCTGATGCAAACCACGGAGGCTTCATTTATTTAATGAAAATAAACTATAGTACTTGCCTAGTTGTGATATATAAATTCTTGAAGTCTTTGATTGTTTTTTAATAATTCACTTGTGTGACTTTGTGGCCTTATGCACTCAAAAACTATGCACAAAAATAAAAATAAATGTTTTTCAGCAATTAGAATTGGCTAATCTTCTCAGTTTGTTATGTGACTCTTCTTAATTGTGGTGCAGTGAAGCCATAATTAAGATTACTGTGAAGAGCTGTATTTAATTACTGGTTAGTCAATACCAAGCCTAAATAGCCCGCAGAAGGGGTTTTCTTTGTTTTTGTTTCTGGTTTTATTTATCAGTGACCCAGTTAAGATGAAATTCCCCAAAAGTCTGAAATAACATCTAAGGAGATCAATCACCTGTTTGAAAATAAATATTTTTCCTAATGGGAATTTGAGTACCAAAGTTAATTTCTTTCACAAAACACGCCCCCCTCCCTCACAAAAAAAGCCCATCACTGTCATTTCCTGTTACATCGTACGATTGCAGCAAGTTCTGTTGCCAGTGTGTTTGCTGGTTTTGCTCTGCATCCAAGGATTCTTTCATTATTGATGTTATTTCTAAAAGAGTACCAGTCTTCTCCATTAAGACACTTCTGCTGAACTGAAAGCAACTGTAAAAACTAAAGTGTTAATAGGAGACAGATGTTTCATAGTCATTACGACAGTCAAGTAACATCTGAAATATCATGATAGGGTTTCCAGTGTAACCAGTGCACTGCTGTGCACGTGCTGAATGCTGTGTCTGCAGTATGTTATCGGTGTATTTTTTTCCCTCCCTTACAGGGCAAATTTCTGACAAAAGAACATCTGGTTTGCTTCCTTTTAAGTAGTGGAAGAGATTTTAGCACTGGACTCAGAGCAAGGAAAAGGTTAAGGGTAGTGTCATTGGAATTGTTGTTATAAAAGACTGAAAAGCAAGATGTTAGAGCAGTGCCAGCTGTCCGCTTTCCAAATACTGTGTTATCGTAAGGACTGAACACAAGGTTAACCAGACACACCAGTCTGGTGAGAGAAATGCTGCTGTTTTGTGAATGGGATGTTCTTTGATGTCCAGATAACTTTCTCCAGGACATGGAAATTTTCCTCCATCCCCTCTCCTGGCAGTCTGGTGCTTGGCAGTTGGAGATACAAACTCTGAGGCTGAGAAGATCTGAGCTCCTGCAGTTAACACAGGACACAGCGAGATCTTGCAGATGCTCCTGGCCTCTGAGGGTTTCTTCTGTTTGCCTCCAAGTCAATGTGACCCATCTGAGGGAAGGACCATGGTGTGATTGGGAAGGATACAGGAAAGCAGAAATAGCCTGGGTCAGCTGAAAGAGTTCAGAGAAGTAGTGGGTTAGAAATGATGAGCGATTGAAGGAGAAGAAAGAAACTCTCATGTCTGTCTAGCTAGAGTGGGGGAAAATAGGGGGTGTGCTCTGCAGTGCCCTATGGAGACACAGGGATTGAGATTTCCTGTTTCTGCTGTGCGCTGGGAGATATTGATGACATGACCTTAAACCCATCCCCAAAGATCACTTAGGATTTTGCAGGTGAAATTCATCTTTCCATAGTACTAAAGCTGTGAAAGAGCTTGAAGGAGGAAAAATTGTGCGTGGAAGTTGTGCCCTGATTATTGCTTTTCCCCAGCTTTAAAGTCAGGACCATAGTGATCCCCTGGTTTTTTTCTTTTCCCCCCAAATACTTGTTTTGTGAGGAGAAAACAGTATATCTTTGAGGTTTTTCTCTCTTACAAGTGTCTAACTTCCTGACCTGTCAGTGTCTGTAGTTCAGTAGGAGAAGATAGTTCAGAATAGAACACAAGAGAAATGCTGATATTTTAAGAAAAGGTACAACCAGAGCCACTAGTGCCATTGAGCATCCTGGGAAAGCTTGAATTTGCTAATCATTTTGAAATGTCAGTGTTAACTCAATTTGTGGTTATTGAAGTCTCTGGTAAGACTGCTATCGGCTTCAGCGTGACTGGTATTGTAAACCTCACCCTGTGTGTGCACATGAGTGTGTTTGGTTGAAGGCTGTGCAAGAGCAGCTTCCTCCAGCACATACGGTCTAAAGTGTAAGGTTGATCCCTGCGGTAAAACTACATCTATTTTTAAAAATAATTCTGCAATTTGTAAGCAGGGATTACAGCACTAATTTAGCAACTATGTAACAATTTAAATTGGACCAAAAAAGAGAAACTATAATTTAAAGATTTTTTTTTTTATGATACAAGTTTTCTTCTTTTTAAAGTAAAAAGCCTTTTATTCTTGTTTTTGTCAAGCAACGTATTGAATTTGAGAGTAATTTATGGAAAGTGCTGCCAGCATGGTATTGCGAGTGCTCCA